GGGGGGTAAGAGGAGCCTATAAAAGAAAAAGACCCAAAAATCGGGACTGTCCCTATAAAATTGGGACATCTGGTCACCCTAATAAATGAACCATGAGACTATACCCTGCTAAATCCTTGCTTTTGCAAATTCATGGCAGAGAGTCACCAGTTTCCCCATAAACACCTGCCAGAGCAACTCTGGACCTGGAGGCTTGGGATAATGAACTCTGACATCTTTGACTAGTGGCTCTTGAAGAGATAAGGAGTTTGGTTTCATTATTTCATAAATGTACTCATTTTTATTATCATTTAACATGTATATTGCATTGTTTTAGTTTTTCTTCCTCTTTTTGCTTTGTTTTGTAACTGCACTAATTTTTCCTCCTCTCTTGCATTTCCTTCTACTAGCCAGAGATGGGAGCCAGATGCTTTAGACCAGGGTATAGAGATATGGTTTCCCTTTGAGCCCACCATTCAGGGGAGAAAAGGGTGTGACCAGTAGTAATGGAATACAATGGTGAAATGGAATGGTCCAGTGGTTAGGGCACTGGCATGGGACTCAGAGCTCCAGGTTCACTTCCATGTGTGATCTTGGGCAAGTCACTTAAACCCAGGTCTTCAAAATGTCTTCAAAATGTATTTAGGAGCCTAACTCCCACTGATTTCTCCTTTGAGGATCTGGACCCTCTCAGGGTATGTCTACACTGCAATAAAACACCCGTTACTGTCCTGTGTCAGCTGACTCGGGCTTGGGCTACAAGGTTAAAAAACTACAATGTAAATGTTTGGGTTCAGGCTGGAGCCTGGGCTCCTGGACCCACCCAAACATCTACACTGCAATTTTATAGGCCTGTAGCCTGAGCCATACAAGCCTGAGGCAAGTGACATGGGCCAGCCATGTGTGTTTTGTTGCAGTGTAGACATAACCACTATGTTTCAGTTCTCAGTCTGTATAATGGAAATAATAGCACTTCCCTACCTCACAAAGGTGTTATGAGGATAAATACCTTAAAGATTGTGAGGTGCTCAGTATAGAAATGCATAAAATAGATAGGTAAGTGGATTTACTTGGGGGTTATGGGACCAGAGGTACGATTTTAGGGCAGTTATAACCAAATCAGGCCTATTCACAATGGAACCATTACCTTTTTGAAGACCTCCACCCGTAGTCTGTTGCTCTGTATGATTATTCGTTTCTGTTTTTCTTCTTCTTTCTTTTTCACTTCAGGCAAGTTATTATAAATCCTGGCATAAATTCAGAATGTAAATTTTAACATATCATTCTACAGTGTCACCACTAACTTAATTTTTCAAAGTGGAAAAAATTCTTCTAGGCAATCACTGGTATTATTATGCATTTGTAAATATCTGAATTAGATTTCATACAGGTATCTATTAGCAATAGCACTGGTATCACAATGAAAGGTTTTGAACTGAGAAACTTGAGAAATGGTCTTTATTCTGAAATGATTAAATGAAAGTAGAGGGCCAGGTTATTTCAGTTATGTCTGTGCAATTCTGGAGTAACTTCACTGAGCTCAGTGGAGATCATCTAGATTTATAGCAGTGACTGAGACAAGAATCTGGCCCATAAGCTTGTTGTAGATATATCACAGGGGTAGGCAACCTATGGCACGGCACGCGAGCTGATTTTCAGTGGCACTCACACTGCCCGGGTCCTGGCCACTGGTCCGGGGGGGGGTGTCTGCATTTTAATTTAATTTTAAACGAAGCATTTTAAAAACCTTATTTACTTTACATACAATAATAGTTTAGTTATATATTATAGACTTACAGAAAGAGACCTTCTAAAAACGTTAAAATGTATTACTGGCACGCGAAATCTTAAATTAGAGTGAATAAATGAAGACTCAGCACACCACTTCTTAAAGATTGCCGACCCCTGCTATATCACCATACAGATTCCAAGCAATAATCTTCAGTGATTACTAAAAAATGTGTAAGAAAAATAAAATGATAATTATATTAACTGATAAGTTTTTCTCACTGTCACTGTGATCCTTTCACCAGAAAACAAAATAGTCAATTCTTAATGTAATTGCAGTTCTTGGTTACAATCATAAAATTAACGTTTTTCCCATTGCAGTCAGTGGCAAAATTTCCATTGATTCAAGTGGGAGCAAGATTAGGCTCTCTGTAACACATATCTTCTTACTCAGCAATTCTGCTCTTTGTGTGTATTCTGATCTAAATCACAAGTATTCAGACTTAATTAGTTTAGTGGACTATAAAACTTTCCTTTCCCCCCAACCTATTTTGCACTACAGTGTCCCTATAGCAGCCTATTCTGGCTTATAATTATCAGTGGTGTTTTATTTTTAAGGACAGTGGGACAGATTCTGATCTCTGTGACATTAGGGTACATTCAGAAAAACTCCTTGACATCACTTTGCATTTTTCATTGTTGTAAATGACTATATAAGGTGCAAGGCAATGGAAGATCAGACCCCCTAAGTATCTAATAAATTGCAGTCTTTGCTAGGATATGTGCTGTGGTCAAGATTTAAAAAAAATTTTGTGTGTACAACTTAATCCACCTTAAAAAGGCCTGATTTTCAGAGGATGAATAAGTGAGTGCTTGGTGAAAACCAGGTCATTTTAAGGTGCCTCAAGTTGGGCCTTCAAAATCACTAGTCACTATTAAAAATCTTGACCTCAACTCCTCTGCAGAAAGACAGTTTTCACTATTGGAGAAAAATCACATTCAATGCTTACCTAAGAAATTAACTCCTGCTGTTAACAAGAAAATGCACTGGATTGTTTATGGTAGATGAATAATAATGAGTATGGCAGAAGATGGAGAAAGCAGCCTGCAGAATAAGAGCCCCAAAGGAATATGCGGCAGGATGTGGTGCAAACTTCATTGTGAGACGTGAAATTAGGTATTACAGAGCTGAAACTTCTGGTATATTTTGAGGGCTACAATATATGCACAATATTACCACAAATCTCTAATATGTTAATAAACAGATTTGAAGAAATAACATTTAGTAAATTACTAAAGACCATCAGATAATATGTGAGAGCAAGTGGAGCATTATAGGCCACAAAGTAAAGACAGAAGCCTCCCAAATTATACCCCTCCACAGAGGCCAGCCATAATTGCACTTCCTATGCTCTCTGAGCGCAGGGATGCTCCCTGCCATCACCCCTAGGGCACTAGATACCCCCAAAAGGGGTGGGAGGAGGCAGAACCAAGACATACACACACTGGGCAGAAGAACTGGTGTCCATCCAAGGCAGTGTAAGCTGCACTCCATAAAGGGAGGTAATAGAGGGAGTGTTCTCTCCTCTCTCTCCCTCAGTGCTCATGAGAGCCCCCAGAAGCATTGTTTTTCCCTGCAGTAGAAGGCCTCCTGTTGCTTCTGCTAGGACAGTACAGCTTCACACCATCCACTAAGTAGGGCTACAGCTCCTATCCACTCGAGCCATTTTAGGGGGAAGAACATTGCCCATGTTTGTGCATATTGCACAAGGCATGAAATACAACAAACGCAAGATTACGATGCTAATTAGGAAGTGCAAAGTCTTGGCACTGGATCCCAGGGAATTACAGTGAATTCTAAACCGAAATGTTGTGTACCTTTTAGATCTCATGTGCATCTCCTTCTCCGAAATGAACCTTTCCTTTGGTTTGAACAGGTTATCTAATAAAAGAAACATATAGTTAATTTCTGAGGAATCTTTATTTAGCATGTTTTAATGAAACGATAACAGCACTGCTTTCCCTAAATTTAGCCACATGGTGTTATTTCGTATTAAATCATTGCTGACCTACTGCCTGAACCAGCTTGCATTGAAGTCTAAGGAAAGACTCTTGATGACTTCATCTGGAGTTGAATCAGACCCTTAAGCTGCCCTTTAGAGGGGGAAGGATGGATAGACCTATTGCCACCAGCCTTATTACATGGTTCATTTAATTTAAATGGATATAACTTTTGTCACTGTCACAAGCAGTAGTGCATACCTCCAATTCAAACCAGGAACCAGCTGATGATTAGTCTGGCATAAGATGGCCTATTTTTCT